CCACACAGAACCATAACACCCGTTGGGCTAATACCGAGGGCTGCAGGCAATCTAAGGATATTCTTCCCAACCTCAACCCCAGACTAACTAGGAAACTACTAAATCTTAACCGAAATGATCTCCGAGTAATGCTAGGCACCATAACAGGGCACTGCCCACTTAACAAGCATTTACTAACCATACGCGTTACAGATAGCTCTCTATGCAGAGGATGTCTGGAAGCAGATGAAACGGCCGCTCATGTGATCCTGGAATGCACGAGCGTTGCAGAACACCGGGCATCAATCCTCAGGAAGCCGAGGACGCTCCTAGAAGCCTGTGAGAGCCCCAGGAGGCTACTGCGCTTCTGGAAGGAGCTGGGCTGGCTGAGCTAGCTAGCCCAACACACCCTGCACGCACAATGGACCAAGTACGGAGTCTACGTGCGGAAACGGGGGCCCACAACAAGTAACAAGTAAGTAACAAGTAAGGTTCTTAGTTCACGGGAAGTACCCTGTAGGTTTTATTTCTCGTGCGAGTTTCGAAAATTTCCGGGAATTTGCGGCATAAACGGCTGTATCTTTTGATTGCTTTGGCTTAGAAGTTTTTGGCTCAAATGAATAACAAGCAATAACCCAGTGCTGGTGAATCAACCGGAACGAGCCCCCGCAAAACGTAAAGTGAAAACCTAGAAAGTGTGTCGTGAGATCAATGACAATATCTGCATTTGTAGTAGATATGTTTTGATGTTTTTTTCTGAATGTGTTTAATGTCGTTAGATCATGCACTAGCGGCGGGAGTTCGTTCCAGCATTTTGTGGCTGCGAATCAAAAGGATCCACGAAATGCTGCTATTCGGTGCTTAATGGTTGTGAAGACAGGCTCATACTGCCGAACTAGGTATCTACTATCACGCATCCATCTTAGTTTATTATAAAGATAGTTTAGCCTTCCCTTGCCCAGGACCTTAAATAATAAAGCAGCTAAGTACATAGTAAGCAAACTGTTATATATCTTAAATAGGTTTGGACATATTTTTCAATCGTTTACAAGGGCAATGAGAAAGCTCCTTGGTTTCCCGGTATACAGCCTTAAAGTCAAGGTACTGCTTTGTTATTCAGCTGACACTAAAGTGACGAGAGCTGTCGAGGCTATTTTCAATTAGACACCTATTGAATTACCTCTACAGGATGCTCCGTTTAAATTATACAATACGAATCGAGTCTTCTCTTAATGAATACGGTGTATTTAAATAACTTTTAAACGTATTTTAGTAACATTAATACGTTAATTAATTTTTTGGGAAGAGATAACATCTTATAAATCGTTGAGCACCGGCTGCACGCACATAAAAGTGTGACCTTATGTCACGAGTCACGTTATGTAACGTCAAGTCACGTTAGTTCAACGTTTTATTTGTATATTTATACTTTATTAACATAAAAACAGTAAATGGCGGACTTAATGCCATAGGCATTCTCTACCAGTCAACCATGTCATTGGCAAATGTGTACTGATTTCTAGTTCTCGTTACGTCAATAAACTTTGATAAAATTTGACAATGACTTTCGGACTCGCAAACTATTCGAATTAGATATTGGTTCGTACTAGGGGTACTGATAGTATTTTTTTGTAAACACAAATACAGTCAAATTAACAAGGGGATCCCTAACATATTTAGTGAATAATTTTGAAATTACATCACTTGAATAAAGGAATAACAATTTGGGTCATGTCATCACCATTTCCATTCGAAATAACTGTCATATTAGCTTGGACCTTTTTCGCTGTTATAGGCTGCTTCTTAAATTTTTATTGGTCTTTGTTGCGCAAATCGACGTCGAGTTATAAAAAACACCTGTAAAAGAAAATAGGGTAATTTTTATGTATGGTTATTTAACTCCTACTAATATTATAAAAGCGAACTTTGTAAAATAAAAAATATAAAATAATTGAATTAATGGAGACGGTTAAAATGTGTATGGAGGGTAGGTAGATAGTCTCCGGCAGACTAAAAATTTTTATGCGATGTATTGCATTTGGAATTGCATTTTAGTATTGCATTTAATTTTAAATCGTTTGACGAAATACTAGAAATTATTTTATCCCAGGTTTTTTTTAAATAATTATAAGGCTATTTTTGTTGCCAAAGCATCAAATGTGTTCTATTTAATAGGTAACTAAAGCAATGATCTGTTCATTTTTATTACATTATCAAGTATTTTGTGGATATTTTATTTTAAGAAAAATCAATAATAAATTAGTATAATAATTTCACCACGATTTCACGAATATCATGCATGATTGGACTGATTGACGTTTGCTATAGTGATTGAGTTGATGTTATAAGTCACACGTTCATCACATCACATCGTTACAAAATTGTTCAATTAAACTGAAATTTAAATTAATAAGCGACAAATACAATTGTATAGTAGCAGTTCATGTTATAATATAAAATAAGCTTTCAAATGGAACCTGTGGTGATAGGATACGAAAAAACATGGATAACTAGACTCATTTTTAGGATTTCACGCCCAAAGCCTATCACATGTTTCGTCACTGCCGGAAACCGACTACCAGATTTGAACCATCTCCTTAATAACTAAATATTCGGCTCTGGGCAAGCATTCTACATTAGACACTTTTTTAACAAAAATAAAAAGAAAGAAATAATTTGGTGACATTGCCATGCCAACTCAGATCTATCAACATGCATAGAACCGACTCCAAATGTTAATTTGACTTTAGATATAAGTAAGGAAATTTTATTGTATTGTTCCTTACTTTTTAATGGTTTTGTTGTTATGAAGTCGATTTTTATTTTCCACTTTTTGTAAACCAGAATAACACTTAAAATAACCAAATTTGAATTGAGTTCAAGATGACAGAGTGACAACAATAGGGTTCCTTTGGGCACGGAACCCTAGAAACTATGAAATCTACATCATCAAAACTCAAATTACAGCACATTAGAGATATTTCAGCTGAAATTTATTTATAGACACACATTATCACCCCGAGATCTGATCGTTAATGTCTTAGCGAGCTTATCCCCAGGCTCTCGTTACGATGTTGTTTAGTATTCATTTTATTAGGAATTTCATTACAAAGTATGTTACCAACCGGCTCGTTAGGCGCTGATATATTTGCTTCTGTGCATGACCTTTTACGCTTAGACTTGTTCACTGACCTTTCAATGATTTCATTGGGTACGATATAATGATAACGCCCTAATTTTGGCGGTGTTGCTATAGTTATATCTTTATGCTTTCACGAAATTTCCTCTGTAATAAACATTTGTCAGATATGGATATTATTATTATTAACCACGTCTTTGCTTAACGAGAAAATCCGCAATATGTGTGACGTAACTGGGACTAATATTTTAGCACAACCCCTTTCTCCGCTTCAGAAAATGTCGACGGCCAATTCTCGTGCTCATAAAGTGTGCACAATACATCTTTCTTAAGGTTTTGTATTAGCATAAATTGACATAGGGTAATAATGTTGCCTTACGAAAGTATTACATTCGTGTAAATATTTGCCGTACGCGTTCTTGTTACGGTCCAAATACGTGAGAGCTCTCGAACCAAGTCGATGCTACGGTGACCGAGACTTGAAGTAGTGGACTCTCGTTTTAAAGGATATTAGTATTTTTTAAGCTTGTCCAACGTAATAGCGATATGTGTAAGTTCTATAGAAGATATATTGAAAATAACTTACCATTTTGTATTTTTAATTTATTAAAAAGTATTTATTTATTATTCTAATGAAATAAACAATATACAACGGAAATAAAACAAATATATTACCTTAATTAAATGGACAATTTTACAACCCAAATTAAACAAATATAAAAAGAAGTTCAAGACTTTAATAGGATACAGATACAGAGAAAATGGAATTCAGTGACGTGTACTTCAACGTCGTATCAGCGAAATTTTACTGGATTAAAATTGGTTGCCAGGTCATTGCCCATTATTCTCCAAATACTGCCAGCCTTTAGTATCTTAAGACTTATTGGGAAATTATGAGTGATTTTGGAAACTAAAACCAAATGGAATAAAACTTATGTCACTTGAAATGAAAATATGGAAGGACTTGCCTCCTCCTTTGCGGCAAAGTCTTATAATATCCGAAAGCAGTTTTAAGCAAAGGTGTAAACGGTGGTTCCTTGAACAACAACACGAGACACCTATTTATACGTATATAAAACTCAAAGGTGACTGACTGACTGGCATAGTGATCTATCAACGCACAGCCCAAACCACTGGACGGATCGGGCTGAAATTTGGCATGCAGGTAGATGTTATGACGTAGGCATCCGCTAAGAAAGGATTTTGATCAATTCTCCCCCCAAGGGGGTAAAATAGGGAATGAAAGTTTGTATGAAACTTTGTCAATTTTAAACCGATCGGGCTGAGACTTTGCATGCAGGTATAAGAAGAATCATAGATGAATGTTATTGTGTATAATACAAGCCTGAGAAAAAAAATTGTAGTCTACACTTCAGCTCTACACCGAAGCAAAGCGAGAGCGGGCCGCTAGTATACTATATAACATTTGGCAAAACTAAGAAAATTTATAAGTTACAAAAAAAATATTATGCCAAGTGTTTTATGCCAAATGAATTTCAGGGCAACAAGATTGAAAGAACCCTTGTTAGCGTAATTCAGATAATATAGACGTCATACACATTAAATAAATTAAACAAAACAATTAATAATATGAAAATATAAGCAGAAAAAAAACCACGCCGACCAGGCAGCAGACGGGATTCGAACCCGCACCCTTCGCTATCCGGGCGAATGCACTGACCAATTATGCTACCGCGGCCATGATGGCCACGTCGAAATTCTTCCAGCTATTCTTAAGCTGCAAGGCAGCGCCATCTCTTCGCATTGTAGGTAACCCACAATGGCAAATGAATACTTTTACAAGTATTAAACATTTGAAAGAAGAAATGGCAATTATAGTTTCACAGTATTTTTCATAGTGTGCATAAGCAGAAGAAATAAAATGAGTATGAAAGTTCAGCGATCACCAATTAAGCCACGCTCAGTTCAGATCCGTACTGGTTCGCTCACGGATCTGACCGGCTGCGAATCCGCAGCACCAGACGTCATGATGATGCGTAAAAGGAAGGAACCTGATTCCAACCACGTTCAGAAGGGAGACTTCGACGAGTTCAAGAAGGAAATTATGTCCTTCTTACACGACCTTCGGAAATCCAACGATGAACTTCTGCATAATGTAAGGGCAGAAATCTCCGAGATGAAGTCAAAGGTAACATCCGTAACTTCAATTATTAACAATTTATCACAGCAACATAGCAAATTCAAGCTAGAACTAGCGGAGTTGACCAAATCCATGGATTTTCACACAAAGTCATTTGATGATATACGAGAACAGTCGAAGGTTCTATCCAGGGACGTTGCGTATCTTAAGAATATGGATCAAGACATTGAAGCATGCAGACTTCGTTTGTCACAGATAGAACGAGACCTTAATATCCAGCAACAAAGAGAGCGCTTGCATAACTTAGAAATAGTGGGATTCATGGAGAATAAAAATGAGAACCTTACTGAATGCTTTTTATCAATGCGCAAAGCTTTGGATGCTCCAGTTGTTAAGGAAGATTTAAACATTCACCGTGTACCTTCGAAAATTTCCGACAAAAAGTATCCTAAAAATATTATCGTAAAAATGAGGAATCAATTAACGAAAGATTTTATCATATCGGCAGTCCACAGAAAGAAAGGTCTTACATCTGATGACCTTAGTTTAACTACCTCCGATCCTTGGCGTATCTATATCAATGAGCATTTAACGCCATTTTACAAGATGCTGCATAAGAAGACTCGGGAAACTGCTGCTGGTGCTAACTGCATGTCTAGGTACGCAATGGAAAAATCTTCGTTCGAAAAAATGACACAACGCCTGAATTGAGATTCAACAGCGATTTACGAATACAAAAAAAATGTGTGTTAACTGTGTGGTGAATAAAGTACTGTCAAGTGTGAACTGGCATGTAATTTCGATCCCCATCCCGACCCGTACGAATACCTATGATAGTTCCCATATCATTACAAGATACCATTAAAGCCTCTTTAAATGTAGGCTTAGTATAACAGGATAGTGTGTTGTCAAAATCCGCTGTTAATGAGTTGAGTGATCAAAGGCTTTACTTTCAACACGATAATATGGCATTTAATTAATTAGTAGCGTATGTTAAGGTAACGTTCTAATCAATAACATATTCCCCATTTCATAATATATGAAAATCCAGCTTTGTGTGGGTATTTAAATGAATATTTATTATTAAACGCTTTGATGTTTCAGTATCTGTACAATTACGTTGTTTAAATAATACGAGCTTACAGCTTGTTTATATGGCCTTAGTGATTTTTAATCTGTTAATAAATATCTATTGAATTTTATGGATACTTATTATGTAGAAACTATCTCATAATTTAGGTGATTTACAAAATAATACCCATACTTCCTATTCTGCACATGATACAGCCGAACTCTTTTATAAAATACTATGTACTTCTGTAGGCGTAGTGGAACTAGCTTACCATGCAGAGGCCCATGCTTGCTGTAGGGCATGATCGGGAGAAGAGCCACCATTTACCTTGTTTTCGCAGTGGCAATGAGACGATCCGCTCTGTTTGCGTCTACAGAGTGACCTTTTAGCTTCCTCTGCAAATGCAGCTGAGCGTGCTCGCGTCCTAGAGGTATTTCAAGCAGAGTCTAGTTACTGGCTGCAAGCTCTTCCTTCAGCCAATATCGGGACTTTGCTTGACAGGAGCACTGTGTCACTTGCCATTTGACCAATCATCTCTGTCGCTGTTGTTGCGGAACCTGCGTCGGTGAGTTGCGACACCGTAGTCTCAAATGCTAAATAAGCGCTGGTCGAGTCTCCCGCCACGACTGCATCAATGACGTCATCCAAAGAGCTATTGTCCTAGTCAATGTGCCAGCAGTCCTAATGCCTAGCGGCATATTTCGAGACGATGGCAAGAGACCTGACGAGATGATGCTCATTCCTTGGAAGCAAAGGATCATCCTCTTGTATGGGACGCAACTTGCGTGGATAAGCTTGCTCTGTGCCATACAGGTAGTATCTCCTTTGCTGCGGCGGCCTTTGCTGCGTGCTCTAAATGGCGCAAACATTCAGTTCTCAATGATATCTACATATTTGTACCGTTTTAGTGTTGAGACTATGGAAGCAAGGGGTCCAAGCGCTCGTTCCTTTTTTAAGGAATCGTCTAAGAGACTCACCGAGATGGCTGGTGACCAAAGGGCTGGCAGCTACCTTGGTCTACGGATTAGCTTTGTTGTCAAACATGGATATGCTGCCAGCTAATTGCCAGAGAAAATAAAGAGCCCTATTCACACTTGAATACCTATTTTATTATCAGGGAGAAAGTGTAAGAAACTAAAGCTGTAGTGACCAAGTATGACATTATTTTTTGATTGAAAAATTTTATTATTTATTAGTGGTAGTTAGTAGTAACATTTAACTTGACAATCAAAAGTTAAAAACGAGCAAAACCTACTCAACTTTTTAATTAACTCTAAGCATAAAGAAATTCAGTGAGAACTCGCTCACTCAAACAAAAGTACAATAAGCGAAAAACTGAAAAAATTAAGAAAGTATCGAGGTGACAATCGATCTTTTAATAACTTTTCGAAAGCGAAATGAACTTTTCCCCTCTCAACCCATCAAAAGGTAATGGCGCTAAATAAATTATACTTAGCGTAAAAAGTTACTAAAATCAGGGAGCAAGAAGTGGGCACCATCAGTCATAGGAGACCGTGGTCCGGACAGTCCATTTATCAAGGCGAGATCGCAAGACGCATCGTGAGTTGGCCCGAATTCGCTCTTAACTTTTTACACAACTGTACCCGCTACGCGAAAGAAATCAAACGGACCTACACGTTTGAGTTTTTTGTTCGGGTTCGAGTTCACAAGTTCTAGTGCGTGGGTGCGCCGCCAAATCTGACAAGTCACGTTCATTTATTTTTTCACTTTATATAGTTTCACTTAAAAGGGAGGAGCTGAACCTAAAAAAATCTACTGGATGTTAGGCCGGAAAAGCACCTGTCCATGTATAAGAAGCTCCTATAAAGGCAATATCAAAACTATCCTGGAAATATGCTATTGAATTTTAGGGGACTACAAGCAAATCAAACAGTTCTTTACTACAAAAGATACAAAATACAATCCTCAGGATAATAGCAAATGTGTCGTGGTTTATCACTAATTCAGTGATCCATGAACAATTAAATATAACCACTGCGGTAAAGGAAATACAGACTGCCAGCAAATAAATATCGAAAGCTACTCAAAAATCACCACGTGACTACTCATGATTATGCAAAACGTCTGAATATAAGAAACATATTACAAGATGGAACTTCCAGAAAATAATTAAGAGAAGATCCTCGATGCAGGATATACTCGATATGTCAGCAACCGTCATGATATCTGCTCCTAGTAAATTACTGATTGCAGATAAGCCCACAAGAAAAATTAACGATTTCTCATTTAATTATAAGATGGCAATAAATAAGTACAATAACATAATTATCAAAAATCCCACATCTATGTTCTATGTTAAATGATACGGATTCTGCTGTGGTTTATTGGTGTGAGTGTAAGAAATATGCAGGCATTCTTAAAACACACTTCTTCAGACGATTTAATCGTTTGAATTATTGATAATGGTAATCTCAAACTGTATCTATCCAAAAACAGACAGGATAGCTTTACGGGGACGTTACTATTCCGATTAGTGTGCTTTGCAGCAGGGAGTTTCATACAAACAATACTGAATGGCTCGAGTTGATCCGGTAACGATCCCTTTCCGAGTTGATATGTATGCTACGATTATTAAGCGCGGGTAAATACGATATGTCTACCATATATTGATCGGAATTTACTTACCTCACCATAATGCTATTCATATCACAACAGTATTTTATATACAAAAGAATACAAAAGAATCCCTTTGATGTAATTTGACAGCAAAACATATTTTCCCCAAATTACTCCTGACCCAGACACATAAATATCGACAAAGATAATTTATTTATGTATTTCCTGTGATTACTCTGTATTGGTTTTCTGAGTAGAACTACGATTATAATGATAAAAAAAAATGATATGCTTCATTTGTTAGACAGTCATTATGACGATTGATCAAATTCCCCATGAAGTGAACCTTTATATATTTTCGTACAAGACATCTTGTCTCAAGAAGGAAAAATTAATTGTCATCTAAATTCCAGTAAGGATTAAAATCAGGTCCAACAAGAAACTAATTCTTCTATAATATTCAATACCTATTGACAATTCCGTATTTATCACATATTGCTTTCAAAAATAACCTGTAGTTCGTTGTCAAGTTTTTCTTATCTGTGCCGGGAAAAACAGTAGATATCATTACTATAAACCAACTATAATAAGAAACCTTCGTGGCTCGAGTGGTATGTACGCTGGTTTTCAAGGTGTCTGTGCCTACTCAGAGGTCCCAAGTTCGAATCCCGGTGGGGCAAATGTTTGTGTGATGAATACGAGCATTTGTACCTAAGTCATGAATGTTTATAATTACGTATTTCTACATAAAAATATACTTATACATGTACCTATTCTATCCGTTACCCTATTATCCCCTGACACAAACCTTACAGTGCTTACTTTGGAGGTAAGAGCTAGCTATATTTTTTTTATTTCGCTTACCTTTCAATTTATGTGGTAGCACTAACACTCGTTAGAGGTACGAGTGGTACGAGTACTTGTCATTACAAGGTTTTATTATTTAACATTAACTAGTATTTGAAATATTTATCTGCCTGATTTTTAATCTATGAAAGTTGTTTCGTGAAAGTAAAGTCTATTTATTGTTTGCCTCCAACAATCAGTAGTTTCTGACTAGAGGCAATCTCTAACAGTCATTGTCAAACTTTTAATAGCTTTCACTTCGAGCTTAATGGAGATCTATTTCGACCTTTTGATATTGAAATAATGTAACGATCCGAATGTTAGGAAAACTTTATTTCTATATTATTTGAATGGTTTTTATAACAATAAAGTTTAATTTAGCATCTGCTCCATTGTTATTATGTTACATTGTTATGCCTCCTAGCGAGAGTCACGTTCAGAAATAAATGCTTCCTTAGTTTTATCCTTGTGACCGAGCGAAGAAATCGCAGCCTTTGCTAAGCTGACAGGGTTGTCATTAATTAATAAATTATCAAGCTGATGATTTACTAATGACAATAATGTAACGATCCGAATGTTAGGAAAACTTTATTTCTATATTATTTGAATGGTTTTTATAACAATAAAGTTTAATTTAGCATCTGCTCCATTGTTATTATGTTACATTGTTATGCCTCCTAGCGAGAGTCACGTTCAGAAATAAATGCTTCCTTAGTTTTATCCTTGTGACCGAAGCGAAGAAATCGCAGCCTTTGCTAAGCTGACAGGGTTGTCATTAATTAATAAATTATACATATATTAAATGCTAAGCTAGTAATAATTACTAAAGTCCACTTGCAGCAAATTTCCTAAATCTCAATTCAACAAAAACAAGATATAGCCCTTAATGTCAAAATGACATTGATGTATTGTAAATTATTCTATGAGAGATGAGATTGAGCAAAATTGCTGCAAGTGGACATTAAATATAAATTAATTAAATCGCAATTTATTTACCCTCTATCATTTCTTACGATGGAAATTGTCAAGTTTTCTTTTTAGTCCATCTTCGAATCACAGGAATGAAGGGTTCTTGAAAAGTCACGCGATAACGATTTAAGATTCACTTGAGGATAAATGGATGTCCTCAATGTGTCACCTAACCTAGATAAATTCGCAACATCAGAAAGGTTTTCGTAGAGAACTTTATTGCGTCACTGAGAAAACTATTTCACAA